CCCGCCTTGAGGAGCTGCCGGTACAATTCGCAGGCCTGCTGCGGCGTGGGTTCCACCGGCGCGTGGTAGCGGCTCGCGTCTATGCGCCGCTGCTCCAGCCGCATGCGTCGCTCATTTGCCCGCGCGAAGTCCGGGCGGCCTTCCTTCCACCAGCGCCGCTGCCCGCCGAGGGGCCGCAGCGTAACGCGCAACATATACCGTGCACGGAAGGCCCTTGCTGTGTCTCCTCTGCCCCCTCGCAGTAGTGTGGGAGCAATAGAGAGAATGCGTGAAAAAGAGAGAGAAAAACAGGGGTGGGTGGAGAACCGAGCATCATTGCCAAACAAACGCACACACGCACATATATATATATGTATTCTTCTGAGATGGCAGCTCTGCCACTTTCTCCTCACTTCGTGGAGCCACACCGCACGTGCGGGGCTGCATCTATTCTTGTCTCGCATCTAGCAACATTTATGAAGATATACAAGTCTATGCGTGCATGCAATCTGGTATACGAACCTATTTCAAGCCCTCACACAGCGGGCGGTGACGGGTCGACCCACGTGACGATGCGCTTCCTGGCAGTCACCGCGTTCTCCACTTTTCTTGGCTTTCTTTCTGCTTTTCCCGTTGCTGTTGTGGTTACTGCGCTTGACCGCTGCTGCTGCTGCTCTGCGCGTAGCGTCACCGTCGCGTCCCCGGAGAACAGACGTGAATGGGCGGAGCGGCGGGCCAGCAGGTCAAAACTTGGCTTGCAGAGAAAATCGCGCTGCCTTTCCGCTATCTGCAGAGATGCAGCGAACCGTTTCTCGTTCCTGTAGCTGCTGCTGCCATTTTTGTTGTTTTTGCCGCCATAGACATTCTCGTCGTTGCCATCAGCCATTTCGCCTCGTCGCCGCTGCACACACGTGGCAGAAGCAGTCCGCCGCGGGGCCGAGTTGGCGCGCTGGCTGCGCAGTCCCAACACCGCACGCACTGCACCGGGTACGCGTCGCCGCGGCGCCTCCTGCAGCAACACAACGGTCGCCAAAAAGTCGCCTTGAACCGCCTCCGTGACGAGGCAGTATGGCACAATAATGTTCCGCCAGCGGGCCAGGAGCTCCTGCTGCTCCAGAACACCGGCGAGGAAGATAAATCGGCGGCGCAGCATTTCCGTGAGCACCACGGCGGCCAACGCGCGGCTCTGCTGCAGCATATGGCGGCGGTACCGCTCACTGAGCTCAATGAACGTGCGGTCCTCGTGCTCCTGCCGCCATACCGCTCTCTGCACGGGGTCGCGCGGTGCAGCGGCATTAACACCTGCTGCTGTTGTCTTTGGCATTGCAGCAGCACCAGCGGAGTGTGGTGCACGCGCCAACACACGCACGCCAGGCGACTGGGCCAGCCCTCGTCCAGGCGCTGCCAGACGTTTGCTGGTGGCACGACGGCTTCGCGGAGGGGCCACCTCGTCCTCGTCGTTCACGTCAATCACAATGACCACATCGCTGGTGTTGCCCTCACCATCTGCAGGCTCCGTAGCGGGAGGCACGACACTGTGCGTGGTTGCGGATGGGGGGTGGGCTCGCTGAGCCGCGTTGTTTGGCGTCTTTGCCATTGAATGGCGCCGTTGTTGTTGGTGCTGTTGCTTGCGCCGCTGGCGGCGGCTCCCCTTCAGCACTGCTTGTTGTTTTTCGTCTTCCCGCCGATGCATAACAGCGCGCCGCTCGCGGTACTCCTGCAGGCGGCAGCGCTCTCGCATCTGCTCCTCCACAATCATCAGCAGATTACGGCGCCGCTTCGCCTCAGCGAGTTGCACTAAATCCCGCCCTTTGGCCTCCAGCGCAAAGAGCGTATTCATAACACTGCTCTCTCCACATATCTTACCATGGCACGCCTCTGTTCGAATGCCGTCCACAGCAATGACGCATTTATCTGCAGAGCTTCTGGGAGGAAATGAGACGGCAGCTGTATACCCCGCGTCTCCATCATCGCCTTCAGTCGGTGCCGCTGGTCGACTCTTGACTGTCGTCGGCGAGAGAGAGACGACGTGCATGCCATCCTTCTCTGTGTGATCGCCTCTCTCCTGCCCTGTTGTTGTTGTTGATCCTGCTGCTTTTGCCGCTCTGGCGTCGTCAGTGCCGGCCTGGAGTTCCAGCCTGCGGACAAGGCACTCACGTGCGGCGTCCTGCTGCCTGCGTGCCTCACGCCAGCGCTGCTGCTGCTGCTGCTGCCGCTGTTGCTGCCGCCCAACCACTAGCATGGCACGACACACACGCAGTGCGGTTTGTAGCACAACAATTGCCCGCCGATGTGCGCGTCGGCGGAGCGGTGTGTAGTTCCACCGCCCCGACCAACGCGCGCNGCCTCTCTCCTGCCCTGTTGTTGTTGTTGATCCTGCTGCTTTTGCCGCTCTGGCGTCGTCAGTGCCGGCCTGGAGTTCCAGCCTGCGGAGAAGGCACTCACGTGCGGCGTCCTGCTGCCTGCGTGCCTCACGCCAGCGCTGCTGCTGCCGCTGTTGCTGCCGCCCAACCACTAGCATGGCACGACACACACGCAGTGCGGTTTGTAGCACAACAATTGCCCGCCGATGTGCGCGTCGGCGGAGCGGTGTGTAGTTCCACCGCCCCGACCAACGCGCGCGCAGAAACGCCTGCAGAATAACTGTCCCACACTCGTGCAGCTGCGCGCTGCTGCGCCACCGCGCCGCTTCCAGCTGCTCGAGGGCCGCGCAGTCGTACATCTTCACGAGACCGGAGTCCTCCATAACAGCAACACCACCCCTCACACGACTCTCCATTGGGGCTGCTGTTGCTGCTCCATTGCCGGAGAATACGCCGAGATCGCCGCGCCTCTCCGCATGCCGTACCCACGCAGCCTCCTGTTCGTCCTCTTCTTTGCCCGATGCGTACGTGACGTAGTCCACGGCTGCAGCGGAGCAAATGAGCCTCACCTGATTCGTCGGCGAAAAAGCATCAAAATTGTCAAGCGAAATGCGAAACAGTGGCGGCAATGGGCGCCACGAATCCACGACTGCTTCAACTTGTTTGGCCTCATGCTGACGCACCCGAGGCGCGTAGTAGGAGACACGCGCGGCATCCACGATGGTGCGGTACCGCGTCAGAAACTCCGCGAGTGTAAAGAGCTGCAGTGCCCCACGCGAAACCACCGGGTGCGACACGGCTACAGGCGCGCAGCAGTAGCGGCGACGCAGCATCGACACCTCGGTGTAGCTGCAGCCAATGGCCAAGCGACTCANCACGGCTACAGGCGCGCAGCAGTAGCGGCGACGCAGCATCGACACCTCGGTGTAGCTGCAGCCAATGGCCAAGCGACTCACCGTCAACGCACCACTATGCTCGAACAGTCGTTCTGAGAGAAGCACCCCTGGTGCTGCTGGATGCGGTACCTGGCCAAAAAGTCTGAGGGAGTCGAGAAGCAGCAGCAGCGCCGCACCCGTGGAGGACAGTGACGGGAAGAAATGAAGCCAATACGTTGAGTCCCCACGAACAGCGCAGCATCTACCGCTTTTGTTATCACTGCCGTTGCTGTTGTCAAGTTGTTGCGAGCGTTGCCGCTGCTCATTTCGCACCCATCGCAGCCACTCAGAGATAGTGATGCTAGAAAACACGTTACGTCGAGTTGCTGCGCCTTTCAACCCCACATGCTCCTTGTCTGAAACATCCACACACTCAAACCGCAGACGAAGCGAACGACGAGGTGCGGATGACGGTGAAAGCGACGCGTCATCATATTCATTACGGCGGCTTTGAGCGTAAGGCCAACGCCTGCCGGCCACATTCACACAGTGCAGGAGCATGGGCACGACCTGCAGCACCAGCCAGTGCGCGAGCGAGGCGAGAAAGTCATGAAACAGCAACCGCGAAGGCCCGCTAAATATTGCAGCGTGTGCTTCCGTTTTCAAGTGTTCCAGAATCCAGTGAGAAGCGGCAAATTTACCCTCCGCACACACACTGTTGTGCCGCAGCAGGAGTGGTGCGAGAAGGTCCACCAAGTAGTCTCGCTGTATTGCAGTGAAGGGAAGACTCGATGCACTGCTGCCACTCTTGCTATTATTATGATCACAGTTGTGGCACTCCACGCCGCTGTCATCACAGCACGGTGCTGCAGTCTCTAAATACGCTTCAATATGTGCTACAGCGGCCATCACGTGTATGATTCGGCTGTCGTCGCTGGCCCTGTACGCGTCGCCATCGCCATCTTTCAGCCACCGCAGCGCTCGCACGCAGTGCCTCTGAAATACCCGAACCGTGCGAAGCAGATCTTCCCGTGGGGCTTCACGCCGCAGCACTGGGGCAGCAGCAGCACTCTCAGTGGTTGACCAATAGCGCCGCAAGGAGGCCCAGTGCTGCTGTACAAGCCACACATCTTCCATACCAAGCAGTGCTACCTCAACTCCGTCACACCCACCACTGCTGCTCAACAACAAGCGTAGTCCTGTTGACGGCGGTACCCAGCGCAGAAACCCATCTACCAGCATCCGTGTCCACTGACGCACCGCCGCAAGTGTCTCCTCCATGCGGTGCTGCTCATCCCATGAAACGGCGCGGTGGCCGAGCACCACAGCCGTGCGGAACAGGAGACTGCAGAGCAAGTGCTCCCAGGCCGTGACGGCCGGAGACGAAGAAGACGACGACGAAAGCAACCGCTCCGCGTGCTCAGCAGCAGATGACGACTGCGACGCCGGTGGGTTATACAACGCGGCACTTCCCGCCCTACTGCAGACGATATCATAGAGGTAGACATGCTTTGCGAGCATCGCTGCTGTGCCCCACGAGATTGCGCACGCGGTCGAGTTTCCACTGCAACTATAATAAAAATAATCATCAACACCACTCTTGCGCCTGTCTTTATTGCCCACACTGTCTGAACCAAGGACCACACCAAACGCCAACGCCGTGGTAGTGTCTTGGAAGTTCAGCAGCCGACAGCTCGTCCGCTCGTCACCAGCAGACGGCGCCGCTACATCTAAATTGCTGCTGCTGCTGCTGCCGCCGCCGCCGCGAGGCGGCAATAATTCTGCCACCTCTCGCACAGGGGAGGCGGTGAGGGAGCGAGGCCTATCGGAATCAACATCACTCATAGGTGAAACGGAAAACAAACGCGCATCGTATTGGTGTTGCTGTCTGCCGGACATCTCGGCACATACGCGAGATGCATACAGCACTCCGTCCACTAGTAGATTCTTTCACCCGGAGAGAGAGAGAGAGAGAGAGAGAGAGAGAGAGTGATCGAAAGGGTGACCGGCGATACCAAGCAACAACAACAACACCAAAAATAGCCAGACCTTCCCCCACAGATACAGGTAAATAGACATAACCAAACACCATTGAAAACAGTTCCAGTAGTTGCAAAAAACAACAACAACAATGCGTGACTCAAGGTGCGAATTCCACTCGCCCTTTTTTTTCCCACCTCGGGCGTGGAAGAGGTGTCCCAACAATAACAGCAGCAGAAATTATCGAATAGCAGCACCACAGCGTCTGGTTATTGGCGTTGCTGCTGCGGAGAGAACAGACATCGGCCTCACGCATGACCGCACCCACCCAAACAGCAGTTACTGCCCGTGCCGCAGGGCCTACGAGAGGCGCGTGCTGGAGAATGCGCAGCCGCACAGTCTAACGGCACCGACTTTTACTGTACTTCCCCAGCAGCATCCGCAACAGCTGTGCGAGCGTGGCGCAACGGCAATGCCATCCAGGTTCTACAGCAAGACTACAACGAGAGGGATGGAACAAAGGCAAAAACAAACACACTCAATAATACACGGAGAGCGCACAAAAAACAACAACAACAACAACACCAACCAAAGTCACCGAAGAAGCATCCCCCTCCTGTGGAGGAAGCACACGCTAACAAATCTGAGAACCAGATACCCCAGCTTTGTGGCCCAGCTCCACAAGTAACGGCTCTCCCTTATCGTCCAACAAATAAGCCAACGCAGCAGATGTTTCTCTCCTGTCTTGCAGCGGCAACAGCAACATTACGTACCGCGACGACCCTGCACGTACGGCGTAGGCAGCGGTATGCTATGCATGGAGCCACGGCCGAGCTCCTTGTAATCCCCCGCACAGCGAAGTCCCTTCCGCCTCTTCTTCTTTTCCTCATTCATCGCACCCGTTTCCTGCGCCCCATTCGTCGCGTCCGCCTCTTCCTTCTCACTCCAATCTGCCTCTCTCCCCTCGATGTCGTTGTCGTCATTATCATCATCGGTAAAGGTGTGCAGCAGCAACTTCGACTGCCGCGTCACAAGACGCCGCTGCCGCATCTTTGCAATGTCGTAAAGAAGATCGGGAGCCAGCAGGTAGCGATCCAACTCGAGCGTATCGAGGGCTTGCTGCTGTTCCATCCTCACCACCGCCGCCTCATCTGTCGTCACAGCTGCTGCTTCTGCCATGGCTTCGCTACCCGTCACCTCCGTGAAGTAAATGCGACCGCGGTAGTCGTCGGGGTCGAACTTTAAGTCTCGCAGCAAGTAGTCGGTGAGGGCGTTGGAGGTCAGCCGAATGACAGGGGCGCCGTANACGATACCGGTGCGGCGGCCGAACGGAATGCGCATACGTGCAACAAAAGGCGAGGTGACATACGGCACTGCCGACGTCGTATCTTCCTCACCTTCTTCCCCGTCTTCACCTTCGCGCTGCTCTTGGCATTCAGCCTCCGTTGCAGAATCAGTGGGCGGTGTGATTCCCGCGTGCTCTGCCACGTGGTGAAGAAACTGCACCACCTCTTCATGCATCCAGGTCCGCGGCATGTTATGGAGCCGCACCGTGCGGAGCGTCCTGTGCGTAGACGCTGCTGTTGCGGAGGAAGAGGGATAGGCTCCTGCAGCAGCAGCAGTCCCTGAATCCTCCGCACCTGAATTCCCCCCGGGCGCAGTGGTTGGTGGAGTTGTTGTTGTGCTGTGCCACCGAACCCTCGCGTGCATGGCAGACGTTGAGGTGGCAAGCCCCACGGTGCCGCACCTCCGGAGTGCGTGGCTCCCGCAAGCGGCCGCTCGCACTGAGTGCAGCCGCCGCTGCTGCTGCTGCAGCGACAACACGAACGATGGGCAACAGCTGCTCTTGTAACCGCAGCAGCACAGGGCACGCATCTCTTACCGCCTTTTCCCTGCCTCGACACAGCAACAACAAATACCTTTTCCCCTAAACCAAACAAAACAGGATTGTGAAAAAGAGAATGAAGAAAATGATCAAGAAAGAGAGAGAGAGAGGCTCAGGTGCTTATTGCATGGCGAGAAGAATAACAACACAACAGCAGCAGCGACACCTCACATAAGAGAAGGAAATACTCACGATAACATTACCGAAACAAAAGACAAGAAAACACAGTACAGAGAGGGAATCCACATATACACCTGCCGCATATATATATATATATATA